AAAATCAAAATTACTCTATGGTTTAGGATAAGGATCAGATGCTTAGCGCGAACTCAAGCATTTTACTAATGCTAGCTCTCGGGGCTCTTAATAATTTCGACGAGAGTTGGACTGCCTGTGCAGGACTAGGACTAACGTCATCCGAACAGAATTATCGTATGTGCTTCAAACACCCCTTCCCCTCTCTGGAGCTCCCGCCTGTAGGCCTCTGCAAAAGTCTATGACGTCCCCATTACATTGACCGAAGCTTGGCTATAGCAAGTCCTATAGGTGGCCAGAGCCATTAAAGGCAGTTGGCACGATGATTTGGTGCTCGCCTAAAATGCTAGTAGGGCGCTATATAGTGGGGAAATGGCGAAAGAACGGAGTGAAACGGTCAAAATCCTGCGAAGAAAGAGCCTCCGTTCTCAATGTGTTAGAAATTTTGGACGAGTTTCCTGTAGGCATCTTGCCAATAACCGCTACCGAAGGTACGGCTGCATATGTGTACTCATATATCCATGCAGCCGCTTCATACCAATCCCTTCGCTTCATAATTTGCTTAGCAAATGAATCGATACGAGCGTCAGGAACGGTCGTCCATTTGTGGGCGGGCGGGCGTGGCGGGCGTTTGGGTCGTATGTTGTTGATAGGGCCCTTATAAGGGCACCTCCCTTGGAAAAGGCATTATGCAGCGCCTGCTCAGGGTCGCGGAATTCCGTCCTGCCAGGCGTATCGATCCTACTCGTCTTGGGGGATTTATCGTGCCAACTGCCTTCAAAGCATTCTCCCTTCCTTTAAAGACAGCTCCCGCGATAAAAGTGTCAAGGATATTGCTGATCAATTATGAAACAGTAGCTGATAAGTAATTCCCCAAAGAAGAAAAAAGCAAAAAGAGTCCTCAAGAACACCATAAACAAAATCGCTCCCTAACAGTCACACCTCCCTATGGTCTCTGTGCAACCCCTGGCTCACAAATCCCTTTATTACATCTCCCAGTAGTGGATGTCATCCAATGCAAGAAAAGAATACGAAAAACAATAAAAACTCGGAAGAAAAACTCCTGAAAGGAAAAAACTTTCAAAGACACGGCGTCCGAATTTGGGTTACGGTAGCGAGCGGCTTTTAGTGCATGTTGCTAGTCGAGCTTTTGCACCACAAAAATTGCATCACTCGTGATTTTTATGCGTTTTACCTTACGAGATGGTTGCATTTGACTGTATGTGCTCTCAATGAATGAAATGTGATAAAGGAGAGCAGAGTTATCTAAGGGCACCATCGCGGTCTGCAAAAATGACTTGCAATCCCGAGTATTGCCCGCCGTCCCAACAAAGAACAACTGAGCGGCTCTCCGTCAGAGGGCAGCTAGCAAGTGAGGCGGTCCAACTGAGCGGGCGTTAGAACTAGAACTTTGAGCTCGCTTCTCGCTCACTGTGGAGTCGCGAGAGTGGGACAGTATCTAGCTTGGGGGCTGAACTACCTGCACAAGGAAGGACGACCATGTACTACTTGAGCGCGGGGGCTGTCTTTAAGGTTCTTTTTTGCTGTTTTTCTTATCTGTTGATCAGCTTGCATTCAATTTGGAATGTTCAGATGATCATTTGGCTTTGTTTACTTCTCCTTCCACTTGTGAACTCCCAAAGACTAACAGCAGAGGAGAATGCAAGACTTGCGGAAAATTGTGGTGAAATGTTCCTAAGTATGTCGAAACACTTTGAAGATCATTATCAGTCCAAGAACAAGCAGTGTAGCTACCGTGCTTGCAGGAAAACGTATCAGGAGAGCCACTGGCGGGGACAAACTCTCAGAGTACCAGTATCCCTGGTTATCTATCGTCAAGGCGTATGGTGAGTTCTAATCCTTCTTACTTCTTATTCTTATCCTTCACTGTGGAAAAGGACTGTGGCCTGGGAGGCTGTGAGTCCGTTTACCGTTAACGCTTTCCAGAGGTCAAGGTCTGAAGCGCCTACTGCTCCTGCCAACCAGGTATTCCACCCTACGAGGAGG